CACATTTTTCAATAAAATATTATTATATTGAAATTCAAAATTTTTTATTATTTTTAACTACATATTCTCTATCAAATTACTATTCCCAAAATACATTTTTTGCCAAAAAAAAAAAAGGCATCAAACGGGGCTCTTAATATTTTATTGCAGACAACGGTCGACGATCCATGACTGCCTGTGCTGACTCAAAATCCTGGGTCCGTCACTGACCAGCTGTACACACATCGAACGATTCATTTAACGAATTTTTTTCTCCATCGACAGAGAGCCTTAGAGACATATCTTGCACTTCTTTAAGAGAATCATTTAGGGACTCTTCCGCAGCCTGTTTGTCTGCTGGTGCGTCGGTTTACCATTGTGGATGCCTCGTTCGACATGCTGCAAACCTTGTTAAGTACGTTCAGCAATGTTCAGGCCACGAAAAGAGGTGTATGTTCTTCCACCCATTCCTTCTGCACTCTTCCCACATTTTTTTTCTCTGATACTAACTCATGCAGTGCATCAGCAATTGCTTGCTGATCATGAGGGTCCACGAGCAGACCATTGTACAGTGCCTGAATTACACAATGAAACAGACAGTACATATATCAACCGATCAAACAACAGTCTAGTTTCTACACTACAGTGGTTTAATGCCTAGGAAATCAAAAGAATGCACAACAGCCCTTCATCTTGGACACGGGTGTCTTCAGAATTTTGTTCTTTTCATTGACATTAAAACGGAGAAAACACAAGTTTTTATAACATTACTCATTATACGAGTAGAGGTCATTTTACCCGATGGATATCAACTGGATTACCATTCTTAGTTGCCAACATAGGGGGTCCATGCGCTGCAGCCTAAAAAAATCCAGGTTTCAAAAACTGATTCCAAAAACAATATTACAGAAGACGGGTACATAAAACTGAAACCAACCTCAACCAATGTAAGTCCAAAGGGCTCAATGAAAGCTGGATTTATGAAAACTCCCAGTCAAGTTTTCAAGTGCAAGTGATTCATTAAGTGGTACCATAAAAGTTACTAAGTTGTAAGGAATGCAAACTTTAACAGACCTTTGTTTTGGCAGCAAGGTGGTAAATTTCTGGAACATCACTTTGCCTGTGATGTTTAGGGAAAGCGGGAACGGGTATTTCTAGTATAAACAGAACCAATTTTAAAACAGTTATCAGCACACTAGCATTTCCGGTGGACATCTCGTCTATATTGTCCCTATTTCCCATTATTAGAGTCTGGTCACAAGTATGTTAGTTTAGATACTGAGTGTTTCATAACGTTGCCTGTGCCAATGGATGTCTAGCTAAATAAATTTGTCAACTTACAAGATTAGCAGGCTCCCGTAGGGGGCAGCATTCTCCGAAGGCTTTCACAAGAGTGGTTAAATTCTTTTTCGGATCTGGTCTCAATAATGTGAGAATCGTTGGCTTGTGCGGATTTGTCGAAAAACGCATGACCTGGAAGAAAACAGTCAAATAATTTACCATCAGCACACAGATAAGAGAAAGTATGCAGTGTATTATTTAGAACACAGATGAGATAGTTACATCTGAATATATAGAAGGAACTGCTTTCGGGGATGCCACGT